CCCCCCCCTCCCCCCCCTGCAGACCATATATTAAATAGCAAGTGACCACCCTTCTTTATTCAATATTTACGTGGTGACCCCCGTCCCCCACCTCATATCTCCTCTTATATGCTCTACAAAGTGATTATTAAAATGCATGTAACAATACTCTGTTAAGTTTGAAGACTTATTGGTAAATAAACGTACTAATCATAAGGTGATTAGTAACTTTGCATAACAAACGAACTAACCTACTCTATTACAAAATCAGCGTATAAATATAGGAAAAGTGATAGATTTTTGCAAATCGTACCTTCATGGTGAACACGAATGTAATAACCATGCAAAATATAATTCTTTTCAAATCATTTTCCTGCAGTTGTAAAAGGACAATTTCCTTGTTGTTTTATCGTTTTTTTCGTGGGATATTGAAGTGACACAAGCATTTCGTTAAAAGAAAATTCAGTCAAACCAAATATTAAAACAGATAGGTCTGGATTCTTTATTAGCTAAAATTTTAACTAAAAATCAGAAGTTAAGATTGCAAACAGAATTTGTCACATACAAATGACAAAGTTGTACAAAATAGTCATGCTTTAAATAAACAGAAAGCAATAAGATTAGCATAAAAGCGTATAATTTAGCATTACTATTATACAAATATTGTTTGTGCTCTACGATTTAACTAGGCTCGATTACCAGCCGCTGTTCGGGAAAATGAGCCCGCACTCATCCTCCCCTCTCTTCGGGGAGGATCAAGACCGGACCCGGGAGACGGCGGAAATCGAGCCTACGATTTAACTGCTTTACCCATCTTGGCCAATGGACCCTCTTAAAATATAACTCGCGATCAAACTGCTGACCCCTCTAAACTTCTTTATAAAAAGGTTTAGGCCCCCCTCTAGCCAATCTGAAATAGCCTTGACCCCCCCCCCTTCTTTTTTTCCTCCCCCCCCTCTACATAAATAATCACCGGTCCAAAGAGAGAATGAAGTGATTTCTTAAGTTGGTACAACACTCTCCCCTAGCAAATAACTTGATTATACTTATTAAACTTGCTTCGCTCGCTCTAAATGCTACTCTTGATGAGAATCGTGGGAGAAATGAGAGGTCAAAGTCGAATGTAGCCTGCCAAGTAGTCGTATTTTCCAGACCGATCCATGGCTTTTTTCGGGAATAATGCTATGCCGCCATCTTGGACGTTAAAACTACCAGAGAGTTGGGGCGAGTCAACAGTTCAACAGCTAAGACCGACGAAGCTAAGACGGACCAAGGACTAGAGCTCAAAGCATAACTTATTTTCATCTTTTTTCTACTCTTAGCAATACTTGCACTGGCTGCTTCAAGTAACGTTTTGTGCAATTTGTGGACTCGCATCGTGATAAAAAAATTGTTAGACAGGTAGAAGGAAACATTACTTCTTTGTTCTTTAAAACCCTTTAAGCCCCACATCATGAATTTTATGTCCTCATGTATTGGAATCTGGATTCCAGAATCCGAAAAATGTTTGCTTGTGGAGAAGAATCAGGTTGGCAAGTTTAATGTCAGGTTAATCCATAAGAATAATCGGGTACAGTTTTTGTTTGTTGAAGAATTATGAATTCGAATATGACGTCTGCGAATACAGTCGTCTGTCCTCGTACCTCGCAGTTAAGACCGTTAACAGAAATCCTTAGCTTGTATGTTTTGTTTTTCCAATAGAGGTCCTAGGGTAACTTGACCTTTTGTCTAGCCTGCGTAGCAAACGTTTCCGTGCAATATTCGGAGCAAAGAACGAGGAACGAGAGTCAAAGACAGCGCGAAAAATGGCCTCTCGTTTCATTTCTCCCGCTGCCAAAACCGAAAATCCCGTTCCCCAGACGTTCTTTGCTCTGAAACCAAATGGAAACGCTAGCTACGCAGGCTACCCTTTGTCTTATTCGAGTCTTTTCATAAGTTATGCGTACATATGCATGTGAATTAGACGAAAGTTGAAAGAAGCGGTTCTCTATATTATCACATGACCTGTACTAGGTTCTCAGAGGGGTTAACCATTGGCCGTTAAACGGCCAAAAATCTAGACAATAGGCGTGAAAATTGAAAAAAAATGAACCGTTAGCCGTAAAAAAAATGTTAACCGTAAAAATTATGGTCATGAAAATAAATGTTCAAGGTCTCGTCTGAAGACTCAATGTATCTTGAATTTGATGATTTTATTAGTCTTTTTGCGATCTTGCAGAGCGAGAAAAGCCGACACTCTCCTTTTTCAGTAAACTGGAAGTGTTGGAAGTGTCAGTCGAACGGTGTCGCAGCACAGACGCTTTGACGGCTCTTACCATTTTTAGACCTTCTCCAGTTTCTTCTGCTGTTAGAAGGGTGCTTTTTCCAGCCGACCAAGTCAACTGATAACGCCCACAGCCTCCTTACATAAAAAAAAAAAAAAATCGTCTGTTGCCGACGAAAAGTGCGCGATAAGTTTCGTGAGCGATACCATTGTTCCGCAAGTTATGCTCCCGTCCGAGGCCGATTTCAACCAGCTGGTGAAGTACGAAAGCGATGCCGATTGTATTGAGGTTAATTCGACTGATTATGACTCAGAAGAACTGGTTAATGGTAAACCTGTTGTAACAATTTCTGGAAGACAAGTCAAATCGTGGATACGGTTTGATGTTTAGACAGTCGCAAAACGGTAAGCCACGACATTAAGGTAAACTGAAAAACTGTTATTCATAAAGCATGGATGTTACTTCAAATGTTTCAATGGGAAAATTTATTACGCCTTCACAAATACGAGTAAATATACTTTGTGAAAGGTTTGAACCCAGGAGTCATTTCAAAAGGTTGAGTTTGATCGTCCGGGTGAACGTAGTCCTGAATAGGACTGTTGTTGTTGACAGTGACTGACGTTTCGACAACCTGTGCGGTAGTCATCTTCAGAGTCAAAGTGAGTTGTATCACGTCAGTTGAAAAATACACTAAATAAAAAAAATATTTAGATAAATATACTTTATTGTNAAAAAAAAAAAAAATCGTCTGTTGCCGACGAAAAGTGCGCGATAAGTTTCGTGAGCGATACCATTGTTCCGCAAGTTATGCTCCCGTCCGAGGCCGATTTCAACCAGCTGGTGAAGTACGAAAGCGATGCCGATTGTATTGAGGTTAATTCGACTGATTATGACTCAGAAGAACTGGTTAATGGTAAACCTGTTGTAACAATTTCTGGAAGACAAGTCAAATCGTGGATACGGTTTGATGTTTAGACAGTCGCAAAACGGTAAGCCACGACATTAAGGTAAACTGAAAAACTGTTATTCATAAAGCATGGATGTTACTTCAAATGTTTCAATGGGAAAATTTATTACGCCTTCACAAATACGAGTAAATATACTTTGTGAAAGGTTTGAACCCAGGAGTCATTTCAAAAGGTTGAGTTTGATCGTCCGGGTGAACGTAGTCCTGAATAGGACTGTTGTTGTTGACAGTGACTGACGTTTCGACAACCTGTGCGGTAGTCATCTTCAGAGTCAAAGTGAGTTGTATCACGTCAGTTGAAAAATACACTAAATAAAAAAAATATTTAGATAAATATACTTTATTGTTTTATTTGTTTTGTATACGTTAATTTACCGCAGTGTAGGAATAAAGATATAGACCAGATTGTTCCTGAGACTTAAAATGCAATCTTACAATAAAAATTAATGAAAAAAAAAAATGGTAATTAACCCTCGGAAGTACAAGGGGAAGGGGGATGTTCACCCCCCCCCCCCTC